TTCAGTATTGAGACATGGTGTGATGAAACTTTATATGAAGTCCTGATAATAGTACCCACTGATAGTTCATACATAATTGGTATTAGACAATATTATAATTGTTTTTTTACAATATTGTTGTCTTTTTGTTTATATTAGATATTAGACAAAAATACTTCCTTAGAAAAAGGCTTTTAAAATTATATCCTTATGAAAGGATAAAATTATATCCTTATGAATATTCCTTATTCATATAAGGAATCAAAATTCTTTATTCTTTTATTTATTTATTTATTTTGATTTATGTGTATGAGAATTTTTGTCTACGGATATCATTTTGTGCATTTTGCATGCTTGATGGTTCATGCAGAGGTCAAAAGTAGGTACTGGATGTCCTAGAACTGGTGTTACAGATAGTTGTTAGCCACCATGTGAGTGCTGGGTCCTAATCCCTAGTCCTTTGAAAGAATTGCAAGAGTTCTTAACCACAGAGTCATCTCTTTAGTTGAAGAAATCACAATTCTCTAATGTCAGAGTGAGAGTTCTACTGCATATCTAAACTTAACAATTAAAAACTCCTACATAATTAGTGGTCCCAGATGAACACTGAAGATTTTTTTTAAACCATCGTGATTATATAATCATACTATCATTTTGGTATGAATGAGAAAAAAATATGGTATCATTTTTCAAGTAAACTAAGAAAAAGGTGAAGCAATGTTTTGTATGAAAGTACTTGTCTGCATTTCTGATGTTGCCCCGGTGTCTTAATTCTTAGAGTTTAATCTACGTACACAATGTGTACTCATTCCTTAAGAAACAAATTTACATTGGGGGCCAATATGGTATTTCAACAGGAGTAAGTGTCAATTTGTATTTTTTTTTACTTATATTTATTGTTATTATATGTTTATTATTTAAAACAATTTTTAAAAATTAAACATATTTCTATCATATTCTTTCTCTCCCTGGAAGTCCTTAATCATCAGAGAAATGCAAATGAAAACAATTCTGAAAGTCCATCTCACACCCATCAGAATAGCTAAGATCAAAAACTCAACTGACAACACGTCCTGGAGAGGATGTGGAGAAAGGGGAACACTGTTCCATTGCTGGTGGGAGTATAAACAAGTAGAATCACTTTAGAAATCAGTCTGGTGTCTGGTGCTTTCTCAGAAAATTAGGAATAGTGTTACCTCAGGATCCAGCTATACCACTCTTGGGCATTTATCTGAAAGATGCTCTACCATTCAACAAGGACATTTGCTCAATGATGTTCATAGCAGCTTTATTCGTAATAACCAGAATCAAAAAACAACCTAGATGCCCCTCAGTAGAGGAATGGATTCAGAAATTGCGGTACATTTTACACAAAGGAATACTACTCAGCAATTAAAAACAAGGAAGTCGTGAAACTTGCGGGCAAGTAAATAGAAGTCTCAATTTCTTAATGAGAGAGGCAGTAGCATAGAGCAGTTAAGTCTATGTACAGATTCATTACATACTCAGAACAAAAACTTTGGTCTAAAAAGATAACATTTTTCTAGGCAGTAAACCAGTTTTCATATTTTAATTATCATTTTAGAAATATCTTAACATGAAAGTCACAAATGAATAGTCTTAAAAATCTTATCAAAGACCAAGCAGCAAAAACAAATCCTTTCTTGAGGGTACTTTTCTTCCTTTTTATTTTTCAATTTCAAATTTGGCCAAAAGCTTCAGGCATTTGGGCTTTATGTGCAGCAATATGTAAAAATATATAAGAGTGAGCATCCATGTAATAATGCAGGCCTCTTATCTCCAGATGTACTCAGAGATTCAATTTGAAGTAAAAAGAAAATAAGAAATTTTTTCAAGATGGAAAAAATGAAAAATTTATATTTCAGAACTAAAGTACCACAAACCATTGTTTAAGTCTGTGAAATCTGAATTGAAAGAGTCTCATAAAATAGTCACTCCTGTAGAGCCAGTTTTACTTTGTTTTCTATGTACCTTTAAATTATAACTTGAATTTTGTATTTGACTAAGAAATGTCTCACAGTCCATTTTTCAGAATTTAGGCCCATATGTCCTTAAGGGGAAATATAAGGGACAAAAGTCTTGCTTAAGGAAAGAAAAGAAACCAAAAACAACAGTGAGAGGTTCTGTCCCTGAAGACTAAATAACTGCATTTATGAAATATTAAATATAAGAGAAAAAAACCTAAATCATACTATAAAGAAACTATCGGTTTTCAACGCTCATAGAGATGACAAAGAAAGACTAAAAAACAGTTTCCGTTTGCTTCTGTTTCAGAGAGCCTAAACTGTAATCTACTTGTGATAATCAGTCATAGTTATCAGTTAGTGTGTCAATTATTTTGTAAAGTCATGGGGACGTTTAAACAGTATAGGGAAATAATATAGTAAAAAGAAATGTTTACGCATTGAAGTAAAAGACCAATGGAAACATAAGCACCTTTAAGGAGGTGATTATTTTTTACTTCATAGAAAATAATACTTTTTCATGATTAACACATCCTCATATAGTTAGAAAGAATCTAAGCGATTCATACATACCAGCCAACAGAATCCTAAAAGGATTATGAATCTCTATGTTTGATTTCTTTTTATCTTGAATGTATATAAAAAATAGGCTGGCATCTTCTTGCAATAATTGAATTGTAAAACATTCAATGTGACATACTCTAAACGTATATTTCTGTACCATGCATACAAATATAAAATTTCATTGTTACAAGTGCATTTTCCTTTTGGTTCACATATTAATCTAAATTATTACCAATGTTTTCACATAAGTAATATTAATATTTTTGTGACATATTAAAATAATACTGAATCATTTATTTTGCACCATTTGGAAATCAAATTTTGTTTAATTAGCAGAAATATTGGCAAAGATGTACCAAGACACCTGGTTATATTAAAAGGGTTCAAAGTGAGAAGGAAATCATGACAACCTTAAGCATGTACACATGCCTTTCAATTTCCTTCTCTGTTACAGACAGGAAATTTTTCTGGCTGCTTTTGTGTCAATTTGGCATAGGCTGGAGTTAGCTAAAGAAAGGCAACCTCAATTGAAAAAAAAAATGCCTCCATACAATCATAGGGCACTGTCTCATGCCACTGAGAATGTTGCCAACATTTTGGCCTGATGATCCTCAGCTCTACCCAAAAGCTGAGCAAGCCATGGGGAGCAAGTAGTAACCTTTCATACCCTCTCCATCAGTTCCTACCTCCAGGCCACTTCCCTGTTTCAGTTCTTGCTCTGACTTCCTTCAATGAAGCATTACAAAGAGAAAGTCTAAGCCTTTCCTTCCCAACCTGCTTTTGGTAGTGGTATTTCATTCCAGGGATAGTAACCCTAACTAGAACAGGAAGAATTATATATAATTTTAACATCTGTACAGAACATCCAGAATATTTTTCAATAATTTCCAGAACCCTAATATAATTTCCTAAATATGTGCAAGGAGTTGGCTACATTTCTTCACTGAAGTTCAGTTTGTTTAATGGATCTCATTTGAGTTTATTCAGGATAATTACAGGATGACAATACTAAAGTCCAGAAAAACTGTGATGTTCCTTTAATGAGATATGAAAAGCCTTTCGGAGGGCACAACACTTAGATCTGAGGTAGATAAGTAGATGTATTTAAGCACAAACTAATCTTTTATGCAGAATAAAATACAAAAGCTGAAGTCATTTTTTTTCCAAAACAAAAAATAAAAACAAAATAAACACACCCCAGAAGCCACCATATGTTTAAAAAATGCAAACTTAAAAAAATGTAAAACTTCTATAAACAAACAAAAAAAATTTAAAAAAATTCTCAGGAAATATTAAAGCCTCTAGTTACTTGGTGAATTTTTTTATTGCAGTTTTTGGGTCTAGAAGGGTTGAAATCAGCTTATCCTATGGAGAACAGGTTTCTGGGCTCACATTGTCTCTCAGTTAAGTTCAGAGAGAAGGAAAATTTGAGGTTGGAAAAGTTCATGCCCTAGATATCTATAAATTTCAAAGATGAAGAAGTATTTTTCTAAAATCAATGCTGACTAATAGATTTCAGCATGTGCTTTTCAGAAAACTGAAGATACATCGATTTCTATGACTTTTATGAACCTGACATTAAATATTCTAATGTTGTCAAACTCAATTTCTTCCATGAAAAAGATGTTTGTCTACATTTCCATAATAATACCACATTACATTCCAAAAGAGGAAGCTCTTTACTTAATATTCCTTATGCTTGCTTCAGTTAAAAATATGAAAATATATTTGATAGAGGAAAATAATGTATGATTTATTTATTCGTTTATATATAGTTTTAGGAAAGTTTATTAAAAGCAGTTTATTGTCAAAACACATCCGGAAAAAAACTTCTGTAGCTCTGTCTCCCATTTTAAATCTCGAAAATGTAGGCATGGAATAAAAAGAGTTATGTTGTCTGTCTACTTAGCGTTCTGTAAAATTCATATTCTGTAAGTATGCATGATAATTGTGTTTGTATTGAAATCACCCAGAATCTGAAGTAAAACAGGCATTGCAAAGTTTGCTAATTTCCTGTATTTTTTTTACTTCAGATATTTTCTTCAGAATGTCTGCCAGATACAAAGAGTAGTCTCATCCTCAAATGACTAACAGGCAGTTACTTTAGGCTTCCAAAACACTAGCTAAACTGAATCAGTCAGTGATAAATTATTTTGAGAATGAAAATATGCAGAATTATAAATACACTGTATTAGAAAAAGTTTCATAGTTTCATTAATCACAGGGTAAGTGATATCACATTTTACTGTTCTTGTGGAGAGTAGAAAGTATGTCTAAAAGGAGAGAAAGTGTCTGATAACAATTGGCAGACATATGGACAAGATAAAACTTAAGAACCACGGCTCACATGGCTGTTATCTACTAGCTTGCTGCTTCTTTGATTTGTTTTAGGATGTGCGTAACAGCCTCATGGTTGGATCAAGGTGAGGAAGAGAGCAACTGCAGAGGTCCAGAAACCCTTTCCTTCCTTACCTGCCGCTGAGGAGGAAGCCGATCATCACTGCCAGCAAGATGACTCCCACTGTCACTGACACTGCGATGATGGGAATCTGGCTTTGATCACTGGATGCTGCTACTGCTGATAAAAGACACAGAGAGAGGAGCTTGTCATTAAAGGGGCCACACACATTCAAAACGTGAGCTGCCTGGCCATAGGTAATTGATTCATCTTTTAAACAATTCACCCACACCCAGCTAGCGTTCCCTTGTAATATCTGCTCTCAAAAGGAATCTGAAAAGAAGAAATATCTACTCACCAAACATTAATCAAAAGATTCACTAGAGTCACTGATTATTTTCTCTGTATCATAAAAATACACTGCAGATTGTACATTACGAGGTTTCTACATTTTGCAAGGTAAAGGAGAATATTGTCTTTGACTTCAAACATAATCATGTGTATTAGAAAGTATTAAATATTCAAGATTTGACATTTTTAGAGTTTACAGCTATTGTTTTCTAGCAAAACTATATTAGCCCGGGAAGTCTTTCCTGTAGACAGAATGTCTAAGATAATGGGGCTTTGATTTTGAACTAAAATGCAATACCAATATTCTAAATAAAATTTAATAGTGTAACTTTATATAGAATATAAAATGTCACTGTAATTTATAAATAGGATCACTGAAAAGCATCAAAGTGTGAATTTAAAGCTTTATGAACATGAGTAGAGAAATTTACAATGCTTGTTTTTGTTTTTTGTTTTTTTGTTTTTGCATTTGCAAATAGCATTTATTATCCAAATCATATCATTTTCTTCCATCCTCAGACGACAATTTGTTTATAATATGAATACAAGACAATATTGTACTGATGTACTGTTTCAACTAAGTTTATTTGAGTATCAATGAGCTCACTGGGTGAATGTTTGTGGTATGTAAAACTGGCAACATAACTTTGAACATCATAACAATGATGAAAATAAACCTCACGGAGGGCCAAGATGGCGGCGCCAGGAGAACACCCTGTCTGAGAAGCCGGACAACACACTCCGTGCAGCGACCAGGAGACTGAACTCTGGGCCCTAAAACAACAGCGATCGTGTTTCCCAGGTGAGGGGAGGCTCCCACAGCATGGGAATCGGTAGGGTCCACTCTCGGCTGCCCAGCCAGAACCCGGAAGAGAACCATGCTAACGCGGGCTTTGGGTCTCAGGGTTGGTGCCACAAGCGTTCATGTCCCGATCACTTTCCCAGGCTGATCGGTGGGTACAAGGGTGCCTGAGACTGGGAGTCCCACTCGCAAAAAAAACCCACGGGGAAGGAAAGTTGCAATACTGATCACGGGTCACCCAGTCTTTCCATGGAAGGTCTCACTGACCACAGGTACGTGCCGCCATCACAATTGAGCTCCTGCAGCGATGGAGAGCAGCTGCGCGCCCAGCTCAAAATCCCTACTCCCTCTGTGGAGGAGGCAAAAGGCGGCCAGCAGAATCTGCCAATGACCACATTGCCTGTACCCCAACCTGAGATCGGGGCTGAGAAAACCCAATCCTTTTGGGCACTCCCCCAAACGCTGCCATAACCCTGTCTCGGCAGAGCAGAAGGATAAAGAGACTCACAGCGGCTTCGCAGTGCCGAAACTCCGGTGCTACCAGCTGCTCCTAGCAAACAAACTACAGCTCGGGATCTGGGACTGTGGTCATTCTACAGGTCCTGAGATTCTCCTGGGTCAAGCGCAATAAGGTCTAGCAGTAAGTTCTATCACCGGCGCCCCCCCTCCCCGACCCCTGGCAGAGAAATGCCGGCTCAGGATCTGACTGAGAAGCCCCAACCCTGCTGGCACTCCCCTGAGAGCAACTCCATAAGCTTTCCCTAGAAGAGGGGAAGGTCAGAGGGGAAGGACAAAGAGGTAGCCCGCCAAGGACACAGCACATTCTCTCCAGCTCACCCAGCGGCCCCTAGCAGAGAAACCCAAGCTCTGGATCTGAGGGCACTCAACCTTACCTGGTACTCTCTCGGGATCAGCAAACATAGATTCTACCACCAGGCTACTTCTGGCAGAGAGATCTGGGCCCAGGATCTGGGATTGAGTACATTCAACCTAACTCTTTCACGCGCCACCCAGGAACCAGTCAACATAACCCATCCTGGCAGAGGAAAAGGACAAAGAGGCAGCACACAGGAAAGGTGGACACCGAGTCCTGCGACCACAGTGTCACAGAGCTGACTGTTAGCCTACCCGTGCATGTCCGCATCAGGACCAAAACAGAGAATAATAAGCAAGGGGAACCGCTGTGCATTCCAACTGGTCCTGCAAGAGAATGAGTGAGCCTTCTAGGGAGACTTTGCCCCAGTCCCAGTGCCTCTCCACAGAAGCAACCAGACGAGATGATCCCTGCCACCCACACCCTTAGTGTGGGCATCATAGGGATTCTTGGGATAGCGACCCCAACATTGAAGCCTCCGCCCTGCGCGTCCATCAGGGTAATCCAGGCAAACAATCCCTGGATCTCAGTCAGAACTGCGTAATAGTGGCTTGCAGGCCACTGCAATAGTCAGAGAATCCGTGCATGCACACTGTGCCCACTAAAAGTGCACGCAAATAGCGCCAGCATCACATTCCTTACTGAGGCAAAACTGAAACCACAGTGCACACTCCAAAATGAGTGAACCTCTCTCATCTTCCTGAAAAAACAGTCTAGAAAACAGAAAGAGACGATCATAGCCCGAACTACAATCTCGAGGAACAAACAGTGAGGATTATAAATAACCAGATGGCTAGAGGCAGACGTAAGAACACTCCCAACAAAAATCAGAACATAATGAACTCACCAGCAACCCCACAAAACAATGGACACTTCAATTCACTAGATATACAAGAAAACGACCTCAAAACTATGTTTCTCCAGCTATTAGAGGCCCATAAAGATGAAATGAGCAAAGCCCTCAGAGAAATAGCCAAAGAAATCGAGACTAACCAAGAGGAAACAAATTGTGCTCTCAGAGAAATGACCACGAAAATTGAGGCAAACAGAGAAGAAATATACAAAGCTCTCAAAGAAATGTCCACACAAATGAAGGCAAATAAAGAAGAAATAAACAAAGCTCTCATAGAAATACAGGCAATTATACCCAAAGAAGTAGAGGCACAATTACTGATACATAGAGAGGAAACGGACAAAAAAATAGAAGCTATCATTGAAAAGCAGGAGTCCACATTCAAACAGATGAAGGAAATGGTGCAAGACATGAAAACAGATTTAGAATCAATAAAGAAAACACAAATAGAGAAAAACCTGGAGCTGGAGAACATAGAGAAAAGATCAGGAACTACAAAGGTAAGCATCACCAACAGAATACAAGAGATGGAAGAAAGAATCTCAGGAGCCGAAGATGCAATTGACAGTCTCTCAAAGAAAAAATGAAATCAGAAAAGCTCCAAACACAAAACATCCAAGAAATCAAGGACACCATGAAAAGACAAAACCTAAGAATAATAGGAGTAGAAGAAAGAGAAAACATCAAGGTCAAAGGTCCGGAAAATATTTTCAAGAAAATTATAGAAGAAAACTTTCCCAACTTAAAGAAGGAGATGGCCATAAACATACAAGAGGCCTACAGAACACCAAGTAGACTAGACCAGAAAAGAAATTCTTCACGTCACATCATAGTCAAAACACTGAACCTACAAAACAAAGAAAAAATTCTAAAAGCAGCAAGGGAAAAAGGCCAAGTAACATATGAAGGTAGACCTATCAGAATCACACCAGATTTCTCAACAGAAACTATGAAAGCCAGAAGGGCCTGGACAGAAATCATACAGTCCTTAAGGGACCACAGATTCCAACCCAGACTACTATACCCAGCAAAACTTTCAATCAACATAGACAGAGAATTCAAGATATTCCAAGACAAAACCAAATTTAAACAATATCTACATAGTAACCCAGCTCTACAGAAGTTACTAGAAGGGAAACTCCAAACCAAAGAAAACAACTACATCGAAGGAAACAGAGGAAATAGATAACTACACAACAACAACAACAACAACAAAAAACAAAAGAAGACAAGCAATGAAACTCAGTGACACCACCAACACCACATCTAAAGTAAGTAACAATTGTTGGTCACTAGTTTCTATCAACATCAACGGACTCAACTCCCCAATTAAAAGACACAGACTAACAGAATGGTTGCGGAAACAGGATACATCATTCTGTTGAATCCAAGAAACACACCTATGCAACAAAGGTAAACACTACCTCAGAGTAAAGGGCTGGAAAAATGTCTTTCAAGCAAATGATTCCAGAAAACAAGCGGGAGTAGCCATCCTAATATCTAATAAAATAGACTTTCAACCCAAGTTAATCAAAAAAGATAAGGAGGGCCATTATATTCTCATCAAAGGAAAAATCCACCAAGAGGACATCACAATTTTGAATATCTATGCCCCAAATACTAGAGCACCAACATTCGTAAATGAAACAATATTAAAGCTTAAATGACACATTGATCCTAATACCTTAATAGTAGGAGACTTCAACACTCCACTCACACCAAGGGACAGATCAACTAGACAGAAAATAAATAGGGAAATAAAAACACTTACAGAGACCCTAAATCAAATGGACCTAATAGATGTCTACAGATCTTTTCATCCAAACTCAAAAGAGTGTATCTTCTTTTCAGCACTGCATGGAACCTTCTCCAAAATAGACCATATAGTTGGTCATAAAGCAAGCCTCAACAGATACAAAAAGATTGAAATAATCCCTTGTATTCTATCTGACCACCATGGACTTAAGCTGGACCTCAACAACAACAGAAATAACAAACAGCCTACACGCACATGGAAACTGAACAACTTTTTACTCAATGACAGCTGGGTTAAGGAAGAAATAAAGAAAGAAATTGAAGACTTCCTAGAACTCAATGAAAATGAAGGCACAACATACCCAAATTTATGGGACACATTGAAAGCAGTGCTCACGGGAAAATTTATAGCACTAAGTGCCTGCAAGAAGAAATTCGTAACATCACATACAAACAACTTAATGGCCCAACTGAAAACCCTAGAAAAAAAGAAGTAGATACACCGAAGAGGAGCAGACAGCTGGAAATAATCAAACTCGGGGCTG